CTGGGGGCATTCCCACAGACCAGAAGGGCCAGTGAATAGAAATGCAATTAAAACAGTGATCAGGCAGGGTGAGGCGTGTGGAGGAAAGTGTTGGAGCCCAGGTTATTCTCACCTTAATTATAACATTATAATTAATTCACATTATAGTAACTTCACATCTTAGTAACATTTAGTTTTTCTCAAAATGTTTGATTTCTGTCTGGAGCAGACAATACATGTGCACAGCTCCATCTCCAGCTATTTGAAACACTTTTACTCTCTGTAGGAATTTCTGGGGAGTCAAACTGTTACAAGTGCTCACAGCAGGGAAAAGAAAGACAGAATTGGTCTGGAGATTGCTGCCTGAGGATAAGGCAAAATTACATGAAGGGGCCACCTCACCATCTACATGCTGAAGGAGAGCCTTGAAAGCTCCGGGCCACTGCTGCCCAGGCCTCATGGATGGCTCCTGGCGTCCTTGTCCTTGCGGCACTTTGATGCCTGGCTGAAAGGCACTGAAGTCATCTCCCAGCTCAGACCTTAGCTCCCTGAAGGCAAGACTTCCTCCTCCTTAATTTGGTTGCAAACTTTGTGAGCAGAGGGTGTCCTCAGATGTGAAACACTTACTCCTGGCTCTGCACAGCTGATGGTGTGGAGTCTGGTAAGGAGCTGGTTGTGTTAGATGTGAAAAGGACCATGGGTAAGAATCTGGTGTGTGGATGAGAAACTGAACAATGCCTTGTTAGGAAAACTTTTAGGAATTCAAGCATCTGGTGGTGCTGATAGGATGGTCTGGAGGGAATGGTATGGGAGTAAGGGCCCATTTTCTCCCAATTTTCTGGGATTCAGTTTCAAGTAATTAGTGGCATTCTCTCCACCTGCTGAGTCACATATCCATATTGTTGTGATTTTTTTTTAACTTTTAAGGTATCACTTATATACTTAGAAATAGCTGTGTTTTAAGTTCACAGTTTAATGAGTCTTATATAAGCCTAGTCAAGATACAGAAATGGTCATAGTCTCCCCAGTTTTTCTTATGCCTTCTTCCAGGCACTCATCTCCCTTATGCTAACACTGTTCTGATTTCTATTATTTAATTACCCAAATCAATATATAGAGAACATTCTAACATCCCGGAAAATTCCCTCAGGGTCTATACCGGTCAGCACCTGCCATCTAGGTAACTATGCTTCTGTCTTTTATCACCATGGAGCAGTTTTGCTTTTCCTTGAACTTTTCACATAAGTGGAGTCATCATGCATTCTTCTTTATTTTACTTTTGGATGAATTTTTTTTGAGATTTACTCATGTCTTTGTGTGCGTCTGCAACTTGCTCATTTCTTCTCTCTGAGCGGTATTCCACTGTGTATATGTGCATCCATCTTTGGATCTATAAGTTCCTACCTAGGTCTAGCTCCCAGGGCCTCTCCGTTCTCTGATGCCTTCCTCCTCAGCCACTTCTGAGTCAGCTTTCTTCTCTCCTGACTCCGTTGTCTGAATCCTGAGTGAAGGCCAGAAGGTGAGCTCCATGCAGCCAAGACTGTGTCTGTGCCTAGGACAGTGTGTGACAAGCAGCAGAGACTCGATGTTTACCGAGTGAGTGAATGAAAAAGTGTCCAGGACACATCATTTTCATTGTTTATCTGTCTGGCCCAAGCAACTCGGAACTAGGGAACTGCCAGGAATTTTTCTTTGTTCGTAGACTCAACCTGAGTGGTCGCAGCACAGTATTCCCCTAAGCTCTCTCTGCAAGACCTTCTCTAAACTCTCAACAAGGTTAGGTTCCTTCACAGGCGTCAAAGCTGCCTCTGCAACCCTCATAGTGACTTTATTATGCACTTTATTATCACTGAGTTACTTGGCTGCATTACATTTCATGTACTCAGTGCTCTGTCTGGCACATGGGATACCCAAGGGTTTCCTTTTCCTTCCTGATGACTCTTGCCATTGGACTGGATGGCCGTGTACATTTCCTATACTGTCTTGTTGAAGAGTTCATCTTGGAGATAGAGAACTGATATAATAAATATGGTTTTTCCATGTATTTTAAAAATGATGTGCTGCTTACCAAAAAATTCATTCTGTGCTACTTTTGCTTCTCTCTCTGAACCACCAGTACATGTGCCTTCTAAACAACGTCAATTATAAATCAGTGGATCACTGAAAAAAGAAAGAATAAAGCAAACAATAATCTGATGTCTTCCTTGGTGCCAGATAGAGGAAACACTGTGATAAACTTACACGGTCTATTCTTGAGGAAATGGACAGAGAGAGAACCACATGGCTAATCTGCACACAAATGTGTGAAGTCGCAAGTCATTTGAGATAGGGACATTTATATCCTCAAGGGGATGTTTGTTACCATACTCACACATGCCATTAGAAATACATGAAAAGAAGCTAACCATTTGGAAAGATTAATACTTTATTTTCTTTCTGGTGGTCAGCAATTGAATACTACTCTCTGAAATAGGAGAGCAGAACACCATGATGAAAAGTCGATGGAAAAGAACTAAATGGGGCCACTCACTCAGCCCCCAAATTATTGAAGTCTGCTGCTCTTAATTCTGTAGCGGTCTAGTCTGTGAATAATTATATTAAGGAATTGGGCAGAGTCATCACAGAGCTACAAAATATCACCCCTGGGGCTTCATTGGAGACTGATGGGAGCTCTGGAGAGTTGATAATGGCAATCAAAGGGTCCATATATTTAACATGCACAAAGGGTGAGCTCAGAAATTATCTGCCTGCCAACCTAACTTCTCTACCTGGAACAAATTATCCAAAAATCAATTTGTAAACACCTTTGAGATAACAAGGTCTTGAGTAATAACCTCCATGGCTTTGTAAAGAAAAGCATCTAGCTTGACTAATCTGCTTAATTTCCTTCTCTGACCAAATGGCAGGCTATAATAGAGGCAATCTGAAGTTGTCCCTTAAGATTTGCTTCGAGTCACACTGAGAAAATATTGTCCACCTCTGTTTTTTTAGCAATTATTCTGTTTCTAGAGAATATTCCCTTCTAGGTAATTAATTAGAAGGAAAATGCTGAGTGAGTCTCTATCTCAAAGCCCTTACCTGAGTTCCAAACTAAAATGTATACCTGCCTTCTATCCATGTGAACAACCTGGAGGCTTCTATAAGTAACATGTTTGCAAACAAATGCACATTGCATACCACCCTCTTATGCCTCCCCCATGCTTCCCCTTTCTCCTTTTCCTTGTTCTATTCTTCATTTCCTCTCATTCATACCCTTTGCCAGATAATCCCATTCCTGGCAGTTGGTCCTAAGAAAACATGAGATAAGACAGACTGAAGTCATTTGCACAAAGATGTTCATTGCAGCATTATTTATCATACCATAGCAAAACATGTAACAACTCATGTGTCCAGCAACTAGAGAATAGTGTGATAACCTGATGGATTGTTCTGTAAATATTAAAGACAGTGATAACAAAGCTCGAGCAGTGTATGAAAAACAAATCCTTACAATATCAGTGAAGGAAGAAAAATTAATCTACATTGGGTCTGTGTGTTATAACCACACAAAAAATATGTCAGTACATAGATAAACATTGAAATGAAACATGGAGGACTAAAAATGGCTGTGTTGGGTGGTAGAGACAGTTTCTATTTCTTCCATCTTTCTCCATTTTCTTCCATTTCTTCTCATATTTTCTCTTTCTTACATTTTCTTTATTGTTCTGCCGCTTTTACTACAAATAAAAATAACAAATATATTCAGTGTGATTTTTAAAAAAATGAGTATTAAGAGGCAGACAGCCTTCCTTGGTGCACGTTGGTCCAGGAAGTCATGCAGACATAAGCTTCGTCCCGTGCCACCTTCTCCATGACCGTGGTTAGGTGACCTGATTTCCTAGGTTCTCAGTTTTGCTTTGTTTTTGTTTTCTCCATTAAAGTGAAGGTGATAATGTTACCCAAGAATTACATGAAATAATATGTGTGAGATTTTAAAGTACAGAATAAGTACAAGAAAGTTTTAATTTTTGTAGCTTTGCCATGGGCTAGTGATTGCAAGGAAGAGGCTCCGATACAAGCCTGCTGAACCTCTGGTCTATTTAGCTGACTGCGTGGAACTCAGTGGAAGACAGGTGGCAGCACAGAGCAGATACAAGATAACTCAGCATGACTTTTCCTTTGACCCCTCATTCCCACCGGGTCCACTGTGGCCCATGACACTCTCTGTTAGAAAAAACCCGCTGGGTTAAGGCAGAAGCTGAATTCTTGCTGTGGCATCATTCTTTTTCTACTTAGGCTCAGATCACCCTTTGGAAAGAACTTCAGCTAACAATCTATGTGTTCTATGTAAGAAATGTTTAGACACCTCGGGCTCCCCTGGGTTTTGAGCCAAACTTCACTTCAGCAAAAGCAGGTTTTCCTTTGAGTCTAGAAAGCAGAGTATTCACCTAGCAGCTTTGCTGTGTTCTAGGAAAATCATTTCCTCACATGGCCTTCTTTCTTTCATTTCTTTAAATGAAGGAGATAAGGTAGGTGTTGAATATAGTTACTGAAGAAATACGGATTAAGGTACATACATGAAAACGCTTAAAGTAGGGCATGAGTGGAATTTAAAAAGGGGTTTCAGGCTCATGCCTATAATCCCAGCACTTTGGGAGGCTGAGGCGTGCAGATCACCTGAGGTCAGGAGTTCAAGACCAGCTTGGCCAACATGGTGAAACCGTGTCTCTACTAAAAGTACAAAAATTAGCCAGATGTGGTGGCAGGTTCCTGTAATCCCAACTTCTTGGGAGAGGCTGAGGCTTGAGAATTGCTTGAACCCAGGAGGCAGAAGTTGCAGAGCCAAGATGGTGCCACTGCACTCCAGCCTGAATGACAGAGCAAGACTCCATCTCAAAAAAATTAAATAATAAAATAAAAAAGGTTTTCTGACTATTTTCTGTGGCTACGTCTAGAATTCTGTCCCTTGTCCTTAGGTGCTTGGAGTCTGCTGTGTAAATCATTTGAGTCTGACAGTCCTTTGTTGATCGCTTGTCTTACAGAGCCTCCCACGCCCATTGCTCCCCCAGAGCTGCTGGCTGTGGGGGCCACATACCTGTGGATCAAGCCAAATGCCAACTCCATCATCGGGGATGGCCCCATCATCCTGAAAGAAGTGGAGTATCGCACCACCACGGGCACCTGGGCCGAGACCCACATAGTCGACTCTCCCAACTATAAGTTATGGCATCTGGACCCCGATGTGGAGTATGAGATCCGAGTGCTCCTCACACGACCAGGCGAGGGGGGTACGGGACCGCCAGGGCCTCCTCTCACCACCAGGACCAAGTGTGCAGGTAAGATATTTTTTTCCAGGCTCCATTATGAGAGGCTGTGCTGTTGCCAAGACTGGCCTTCCTCTTGTTTTCCTGTGACAGTTAATTCCTAAATTTCTTTGAATATGAATGTTTCTTATTGTGGATGAAAAGAATCAAGGTTTTGGTCATTTTTTAGAGGACCTTCTGGCTGTGGTTACATCTCTGGAGGCTTTCTATCTCTGACTATGATTCTGAGGACCTCTTGACTTTAGCTGGGTCATGGAGGTTCCTGGTTCTAATAGCGTTTCTGATGAGACACAGTGGATCTGCGTCTTCCAGAACTCCTGGTGCCATTTATATGTCTGAGGCTTTCTAATGTTAATAACGTCTCTGAGGTCTCTTGGTTTTGTGTCTCTGGGAACCATTAGCCCTATTTCTCTGAGGGTTCCTGGCTCTGTTTTGCTGAGGGCTCCTGCTCTGGTTTTGTCTCTGAGGGCTTCTGGCTCTGAATGAGCCCCCTAAAGGCTTCATTTAGATTATGTCCTTGGGGGCTTCTGGTTTTGGTTGTATCTCTAATGTGTTTCTAATTCTAACATTGTTCCTGAGGCTCCCTAAGCGGGGCCTATGACCTTTGGTTTTGACAGTTTTCTCCATGGTTTCCTGTATTGGTTCTTGATGGTTCTACCATTGTCTCTGAGGGGCTCCTGGCTCTGACAGTGTCCCTGAATTGTTTCTGGAACTGCCTTAGTCCCTAGGAGATTCCTGCCTCTGTATCCCCTGGAGGCCCCTTCCCCTACCTGAGTCTGGGTTGATACTATTCCTCTGAGGGTCCTCTGGATTCCATTCCATCTCTATGGGGTACTGACTACCCTGTCTCCCTGATATTCCTGGGTGCCCTGTAAGAGTTTGCTGGCTGAGATTGTGTCTAAGAGGAGCGATTCTGTGGATCCAACTGTATCCCAGGCCTCCTGGCGTCTACTGCATTTCTTATCGGGGCTATTGGCTAACAGTGTGTGTCTCACTGTACCCCTGAGATGCTCTGGCTCTGGATGCAACTCAAGAAACTAAAAGAACTTGCTGTTTTCTGATACAAATTACCTTATTTGTGTTATATCTTTTTTCACTCTAAGTAAGCTTTTGTTGTAAGTACTTACATTTCTTAAATACACAAAGGAATAGAGACTCAATACTTTTAAACTTTTTGTGCAAAGTCGTAGAATGGCCAGTGGCACAGTGAGGAATTACACTTAGATTTTATGACTCTTTGATATTTGGCCCCATCATGATGAATAAAAGAGAGAGAGAGAGAGAGAGAGAGAGAGAGAGAGCAGTAAGAGAGAGAGCATCTTACATACAGCTGGGGATGTTCTAGTAGAGGCAGGCATGGTTCAGGGAAGCAGGCAACATGGGCTTCGGAAGACAAAAAGGAGTCACTGAGGCTTCTGGAATGGGGGGAAGGATCCATCAGTACAGGAACCACGGAACAAACAAAGGAAAGTGCATTCAGCTCTGCCATAGCCTGACATACAGGTCCCTAAGAATCACCACACTTTGTCAAGTTATGAAATACAAACCACAGGGATTATGGAGAAAATGGAGCTAGGGAGCCACATTCATACTTCACTAGTGACACATCAAAAAAGAGGGGAATCTAGTAAAACTGGTGGCACAATTTGATGCATGTGAAATGGCTAAGAAATGCATTCATCCAGGTAGAGCATTCCTAATCTGAACATCAGAAATCCAAAACGCCCCAAAATCTGAAACTTACTGAGTGCCAACACAGTATCACAAATGAAGATGACGTTGTTAACACTGCAGGAAAAGTGCCTGTAGATAACACGGCAAACATGGGCAATGGGCTTATTGAAGGACTGGAGCAGTATGCATTCACAGGACAACAGGACACCGTGTCAATTTAAAAAATCAGAGATGTTTAAGACAAAAATCATTGTTAATAAGGCGGATGACTATGGAGGAAACATTTTAAAAAGCCATCCAGGAGAATGTCTCCTTATCCCTAACGGATCCACTTCCTGGTTCCTCCACTTCTTCTGATGTTTGTTTTCACCAAAAAAACTAAAATGCAGTGTATAGGAATCCTTTATCAAAGCACATCATAGGGAGAGGACTGAAGGCCAGGATGTTTGCTGCTGATGGTCAACAGCTGATCCAGGTATCTGCTGAGGCTACTGTGCTGCTCAGTTAACCTGAACACGTTAATTTTTCACAGCATTAATGACATATCATTTATTCTTTTTTACTGTTAAGAACTTACGTAAGAAGATTATTGCTTATCGATAGCATATGCATTCAGAGTCAGGAATTATCATGATGACAGACAATCACAGAATTGTCCACATAAGTGGCTAAGATAGTTGCATCTTTGCTTTCGATGGTTCGGTGTACACATACTTGGTTCATGCCCAAAATTATTTAAAATATTATAGAAGATTGCCCAAAATATATATAAAACATAAATGAATTTTGTGTTTGGACTTGAGTCTCATCCCTGAGATATCTTATTAGGTCATAGGCAAATATTCTGAAATTCAGGAAAATCTGAAATCTGAAACACCTCAGGTCTCAAGCATTTTGGATAAGGGATACTCAACACAGATGGTGTATTACCTTGAAAAAGACCTGAAGTTTGCTGTGGAAGTGAGCATCAGGGAGGTTGCAGCCTGTGAGTGACTGTGAAGTGGTGGAAGGAAAGCTGTTTGAAATTGGAGTAAGATTGTACTACTAGTTGTGGCTTAGAATACAGGCAGTGAGCTGAGGGGCAGGTAGGAGTTGGCACTGTGTGTGTTTCGTGTATTTCTAGGTGGCTCAGTTCTGCTAGGTGCAGATTTCTTCTTCCCTAATGTTTCTCACATACAAAATCACACATAAGCAAATGCAAAGTTCGTGTTATGCTCAAATTGCTCTTTCATATATTAGTTGTGTGGGAACACATTGCGTTTTCAAAACGAGTTATAGTGGATTGGCTGTAACCATTCTTAAGTATATCAGTGGTGTATCGTGGTAGTATGTAACCCAGGTATTTTCATCGCTTGGAAATATTCCTTGCAAGGTTATTGAACCACTATGATGAACAGAGATGCCATTTTCTTGATTATTTTCAAAACAGGCCTTTGGTAAAATTCCTCACTGAAACCTGATTATGAAACTTACTACTTTCAAAGGACATAATGATATGTTATTAAACTGGGTAATACCTTATCTCAGCTTTGCAATGCAATATTCATCCATAAAAATAATTGATTTGATCCTGCTGATGAAACTTCTCTCTTTCCACAGGGTAAATGTAGGAGTTTCCAGGGTTTTTGATCTTTATAAATGATATTCACAGTACTTTAGCAGCCCCCGTGGACTTATTTGCTGATGATCATATAATATATTTTGAAATTCAATCACAAGATGATCATCTCAATAAAAATTTACAATCTATTGCAAACTGTTGCCATGACTGTGTAATGGATTTTACATATTGAAAACACAATAGTCTGGCTATCAATATAAAAATTATGAGTTGAAATGCAATTGTGGTATTTTATTTTTAAAAAACGTTGGTGTTTAAGTTACAGCTAAAATCTTGAATAACCCACATTTTACAAAATGTGTCATCAAGAAGGCAATCTTCCCTCCTGCATTGCTACTGATGGTGGAATGTTTTTTGCCTCGTAATTAATTTTTAAGAGAATTCCAGGGCTGATAGCTATTTGTAGGTGTTGTTTATTGGTGTTGGTAGTCTGAGATTTTCCTCCTTTTCCTATTCTATTATTAATCACACTGGAAATGTACTCATTATTTTATACAACAGAAAGAGACAGTGTGTGGAATGTGGAAGGTATAATTTCTGCCCAGAGGAATTTACAGGCTGGGTTCAGATTTCAACAAAACAGCAAAAAAGATAAAACATAAAGGCAAGCATTGAAATAGCGTACTTCATGGAGGAAAAACAGGGGCAGCATGGGAAGAGAAATGATCTTAGAATCATCTAGGGCAGTGGTTCTCAAAGTGTGGTCCCTGGACCAGCAGCATCAGTATTGCTGTAGACTGAATACTTGTGTTCCTTTAAAATTCATATGTTGAAATTCTAACCCTTGAAGTGATGATATTAGGAGGTGGGACATTTGGGTGTTGATGATGTCATCAGGGCAGAACACTGATGAATGAGATCAATGCCCTTATAAAAGAGGCTCCAGAGAGCTCCTTCGTGTCTTCTGCCATGTGAGGACCCAGGAAATTGGCCCTCACTAGACACCTAATCTGCTTGCACCTTGATGTTGGACTTTCCATCCCCCAGAACTGTCAAAAGTAAATTTCTGTTGTTTATAAGTTACCCAGTCTATGGTATTCCATTATTACAACCCAAATGGCTTAAGAGAAGTATTCCCCTGGGAACTTGTTAGAAATGCAAATTCTCAGACCCTATCCCCTGACTGAATGAATCAGAAATTCTGGGGGTGAGCCTAGAAATCTGCTGTAAGGAACCTGCTGAGTGATGCTGTTTCATACACAAATTTAAGTCTAACTTATGTATAGTGACAAACCAACATGGCCCTTTAGAAGGATGCTCATTCCATAGCTTGATCTTCGCAACAGCTCTGAGAAGTACATGGGAGGAAAACTGAGACTCAGAATCTTTGGACCAAGATCACCAATAAGTTAAATGCTAGATCTCTTGGCCGAAGAAACTCTTCACCGTAGGACTTGATGGAGTCTTCAGCCCTGGGGACCTCCTCTGCCCACAAGTGTCCTCTTGAGGGTAGCTTTGGGCAGTAGGGAGGTTGGTGACTATGGAGATCAGCTGAGAATGAATAACTGCTATACAAAGTTTTGCTTCTTTCTGTCAAACATTTACTGAGTCTTTTCTTTGTGCCAAATTCTGTGCTAGGCACTGGTGGCAGAGGTTGGCTTAGTAAGGACATACTAGTAGCAGGCAGAGACTTGGCAGCAATAAGCTACAAGCTTGGGTATAGCAGAGGAAGATACTGGAGAGGCAATTCAGCAAAGGCAGGTGGGGATTCACTCCT